ACAGCATCGGTCCCACCCTCACAGAAACATCTTAAAACCTCAGAAAGCTGGCGTGGCGAAGGGACATGTGAGTACCAGCGGGTTGTCTTCCCCCTCGAACTCCATCAGCTCGGCTTTTAGGAACGCTGAATCGTTTTGTTTTGCTTGTATATCTGTTTAAAAGAAAAGGAACCAATCTGCTCATGCTGCTGCAAACTCACACTTCAATCTCCACCAAGCACTTCAGCTGGAGAACAGCTGCTCACACTCACATGTTGTTACGGCCGCTGGACCTGAAAGCACACACAGAAGTGTAACACAGAGCGAGTCGTTTATTAGGCTGAATACACGAACACAAAACAAGGCAAAGCAACTTTGAAAACATCCTGAAACTGGACGTAACATGAAGCGAGATGGACAGACGATGTGAAATACACAGGAGGGTAATGAGGGAAGTGGAAACGCTGGGGAAACACAGCTGACACAAACCTGACGCCACACAGGAAGCAAAACTAAACACGCTGAACAGGGAAACACAAGACTTTCAAAATAAAAAAGGAAACCTGGAGAGACGACACCACGAGCTTGACAAACATGAAACACATGACAGACTGCAGAGACACAAGCACAAGTTAAACACAGAGGACAGCAAAAGAAAACAAGGAAACATAGAAGAAACAAAATAGATTAAAACTCAACGAACCCCAAACTAAAAAATAATAAGAAATAAAAAATCCAAAATAAACTCAAAATGCTGGGTCACAGACGCAGACATATATGCTCTATAAAGTCCAGGCAAGCTGCAGCACTGAGTCATGTAGAGCACAGTAGAGTTTACCTTCTTGTCGTTCAGGTGTGTGCACCTTTGGCGTAGCATGATGTGCTAGCAACACGGTGGTAGCTCTGTTGCTAGTGCACATACTGGACCTTCTGTTGCTCCACGCACTGTGAAGTACGTTGCATATTATTGTGGAGCAGCACTATAATCTGTGTGAATGTTTGTGGGTCACAGACTACAGCTGGCAACCCCGTCCACAAACCCTGTGTGCCAGGACTTAGAGGCCTCCTTCATTTTAACCAAGCTACCAACGAGCTCTTTCACTGCAACGGTGTCTCCTGGAAAGCCTGGGCACCAACTGATCAGGTACTACAGCTTCACAACACCAACACAAGCCAAGCACCTGTGACAACACGTGGAAACTGAAAAGCTGCAGATCTAAAATCATCTTTCCTGTTGAAACAGATGGTGAGTGCTCAGATGTGTCCTCAGGGCTCCACCTTTCATGGTGGTTATTGCTACACCCTCAGTACTGAACGCAAGCTGCCATGGAGTGAAGCAAAC